GATCGAGCTGACTATACATAATTGCTTAATTTATTAAGTAGTTGCATTAGGGTCATGTTGTTGAACAAATATATACTCAGCAAGTATGGTTTCAAATACCTAATCTTCTTAACCATGTGTCACATGACAACATGTTCTTTGTTAAGCTACATCACGGTTGCATAAATAAAGATGGTCCCCAGGCAGACCATTCGATCCAGGGTTCAGTTCCTCAAAATCTCGGCTTTGAATTTTGTATTCTCTGTGTAGGTGATTATTGGAAATATTTCTTTGAGATTCCTGGCAGTTAGTTTTAACCATACTGTTGAGGTTACGAAGTTGTTTTTCACATCAATTTTTGTTTTTCACTGGGGTTATCATTACCAGTCAGGATGAATTGAGTTTTCATATATTTGGTTTATCATGTGCGTTTTATCTACAACAATAAGAATTCCATGGACCTCCTTCTGTACAGGGCTCCTATAGTTGATGTCTTTCTACTTCCTACAATGCTCATTACGGAATAAAACGTGATCAGTATCACATTTGCCTTGCTCAAGATGATATCAAGATCAGTTGGTATCTCTTATTCAATTCCGCATTAACATATTTTGTGAATTTGACAAATATTTTGGTCATGAAACACGCCAACATCTCACTTGTATTCCCATTAAGTTTTGTTCTCAAGTGGTCTTGTAACGTCATACAAAAGTTCTGAACAATATGAAAGAGCTTCCCTGACCAAAACATCTGTGCAGAAGTTACAGGAAATGATGAATGTGTTGTTAAATGCTTTACGAACATCTGGGCAGAAACCACATGAGATGATGAATTTGTTGTCAAATGTTTTATGAACCAGTTATTATGATGCTGAACCAATGTTGTGATCATATGGTTTCCATTTTTTATTCAAGATAAAGTATGTCTTCTTCGACCCCAAGGTTAGAAGTTAGATATGATGAATATTTCTTTCCATGAGAAAGGGAGCAGAAATTTTAACAACAAAAAACTAGTGGATCCAACTAAAGTTGAACGACAGGTTGTTGTTGACCATCTCGACATGATATGGTCCAAGTTGCCTTGTTTGAGATCCAATTAGATGTGGAGACATGAATGGAATTAGGATAAATCCTCCTTATGATGTATTTCCAGAGTCAAATCAGAACAGACGCTGATCTCCTAATTAATCTCTGCTGAGTCAGGCATATCTACATCTACATTCTTCAAAGATGATATATTTTCTCTTCAAAGATGATAGATTTCTTTAGAGATAAGCTTTATTGGATTTCTACATAAATCCAGACAAAGAAAGTCAGTTTTATCCACAATAAAATGGGGCATCAAGGTCATAATTCTGATTACGGCAAGAGTTCCATAAATGAAACATTTCTTCTAAGACTTAAATGAAGCAAAAAAGATACAAAGATACAAGTTGATCAGATGATTCTTGAGAAAGATAACATAAGTTGCTACACTAGTATCCGAAGGTAACCCTGGAAATAAATGATCAAGTGAAGGAAGACCAAGTTCATCACTTTGAAGTCAAATGAAGATTGCATCAATATTCATGCATTTATAAGAACATCATTTGCACAATAAACAATGCATTACATTGATACATCTGATTGCATTCAAACATGAAGTTTTACAGATCTTCGTATAAAAAAGAAGATTCATGATGAAAAATACCTTACAAAGGGAATGTAGAATTCAAATCACATCAGGAAAGGCAAACATCTGAAGAATAGATGGTCGCGATCCACAAAAGAAGTATTATTTTGGGGCATGTTACCCAATCAACCAAGTTATTTCAAAAAATGAGAAAATGATTTTCAAAGTTTCTCATTTAATCTTTTATAAAAATGAAATTTTTGAATATTAAAAAAATGATTTCCATAGTTTCTTACTTAGTAAATTATTTCCCATATCTGTAAGACCTTCAGTGCATGATATTTTCAAAATCTTCGGGTCATCCATAAGACCTGCAGTGTAGGATGTTTTTAAAAAGCCTTTGGGAGCTTTTTGATGTTTCAAAGCCTTCGGGTCATCTGTAAGCCCTTCAGTGCATGATGCTTTCAAAACTTCGGGTCATCTATAAGACATGCAGTGCAAGATGTTTTTAAAAAGCCTTCGGAAGCTTTTTAATGTTTCAAAGCCTTCGGGTCATTTGTAAGACCTTCAGTGCATGATGCTTTCAAAACCTTCGGGTCATCCATAAGACCTGCAGTGCAGGATATTTTCAAAAAGCCTTCGGGAGCTTTTTGATGTTTTAAAGCCTTTGAGTCATCTGTAAGTCCTTCAGTGCATGATGTTTTCAAAACCTTCGGGTCATATGTAAGCCCTTCAGTGCATGATATTTTCAAAACCTTCGGGTCATCTGTAAGTCCTTCAGTGCATAATGTTTTCAAAACCTTCGAGTCATCTGTAAGCCCTTAAGTGCATGATGTTTTCAAAACCTTCGGGTCATCTGTAAGTCCTTCAGTGCATGATGTTTTCAAAACCTTCGGGTCATCTGTAAGCCCTTCAGTGCATGATGTTTTCAACACTTCCATCCTACTCGAAAAAAGTCAAATGAAAAATTATTGTCTTTTTCGTCTTTCCTCTATTCTTGTTAACACAATAATGAGCAAAGAGAGGCAGCTGTAGACATTAATTTTTTATTTTCATGTTATTATTATTATTATTATTATTATTATATTATATATATATTATTATTAAATAAAAGAGCAGGCCCAAAACCCGGAGCCCGTTTACATGCCCAGGCCCAATCAGAACCGGCCCAGATGGCCTAGCTAAACCCTAAAACCATATTAAGGTTTCCATCTCATCCCAACTGCCAGCCAATATCAACCGTTGGATCTGGAGTGATCCAACGGCCCAGACGAGTCCAGCAGGGAACCCTAGGGTATCATCACCCTAGGGCCATGTCGTCGATTTCTCTGCTACTAAGCAGTCGCCGCCTCCAACATTGCTGCCACGACGCCCGTCAAAGCTCCCAGAAGAGTCATTCCAGCCGTCCACGCGTCCCATTCTTCGGTGAGTCACCACAACTCATCTCTGGGACCGGTATGAGAGCATCCTTGGTGGTGGCTATAAAATCCACCACACTTGTGAAACGAAAGAAGGACAACATCCACCAAACAAGCAAAAAAAACAACAGAGACGAGAGCAACCAACAGTAAATAAACAGAGCCCACAACATCAAACCGAAAAGAAAAAGAGAAGAAAGAGAAGGAACTTACCTCAACCATCGGAATCCTCCAAACCGTCGTCGAACCATTAAAATACCGAAGATATTTTCCTTAGATCTAGGAAATACTATCGGAAAAGAGTGTCGGTGCCGAAAAATAACTACCAGGCGGTGGCTAGTTTTCTCTCTAGCAATGGAAGAAATTGGCCCAGGGAGGCCGATTTTTGGGTTTAAATACCCTCCCCAAACGACGTCATTTTGGGGAGGGTCCTGTCTGTAATTTTATATTGGTAAATCCTTTCCGTAACCATTTATATTTTATAAAATTCCATTTTAGTCACTAAGTTAAATTTTTTACACGTTTTAATTTTGTCTTTTAATTTTTCTTTATTTATAATTTAGTCACTACCTTATTTATAAATATTTAGGGTAAATACTATATTAGTCCCTTATAATTTTTATAATTTATATTTTAACCCGAATTAATTAAATAAGGCTGAATTACTTTATTAGCACTTAGATTTATTTATTTATTTGAGTTAGAGCCTTTAATTTTGATAAATTTTATTTTAATCATTATTTAATAATTAAAGATTAATTACACTATTAGTAATTATATTTTTATAACACTTTGAATAAGGGCCATTAATTTATATATTTTATATTTTAATCCCTAACAGTTTGATATTTTTCATTTAATATATTTTTCATTTTAATATTATTGCTTTTAATTTCTTTTATTTTGATTATTATTATTTTGTTTTGTTTTATTATTATTTTTTATATGAGTTTAAATTATTATTTTCATTATTATTTTTTTATTATTATCTTAAGTCATATATATATATATATATATATATATATATATATTTATTTATTCTATTTTCTATTAAAATCCTATTTATAAATTTAATTTTATAAATTACTTTTAAGAAAAATAATCATAGTTTAATATATATTTATTTTTCAATATTAAGAAAGGGCGATATTAAAGCAACTGGATGTCTATTTTCTGATATTTTTAAATAAATAAATATTTTACTTTTATAAATTATATATATTAATCTATTTTTTAATAAATATTTTATTAATATTTATTTATATTTTAATATTAAGAAAAGAGTTGTCTTAAAGCACCTAGAAGTCCTTTTCTAATATTTCTAAATAAATATCTTATTTATATATATAAAAATTAATAGATTTTCTTAAAATTATAATAATAAATTTGAAATAACAAGATTATAAATTAAATATATTTAAATTTTAAATTTTTAATAATAAAGACAATTTATAATTAATTAGTACCAATTTTGGGCGTTGTGGGGTGTTAATCCTTCCCCAAACGTAATCGACCACAAATCCCTTTTTATTATTAAAATGAACGAATTTTTGGTTAAAACGCAAACCAGTTTATCTTTTAACTGATGTTTTCTTAAAAACTCTTTTAAAAGATAATTTTTAGGTATTCGACCTACCTGACCCAAAAGACCGATGGCGACTCCCAAAACATTTTTTTTTAAAATCAAAATCATTTTTTATGCATATTATTTTCCCGCCAAGTAAAATTTCATGTCCGGGATAAAATAGTTCCCAACCATCTACATAATTTCGTTGAGTAATTTCCAGAAATTAGGTCCCCCCCTCCCTTCTCTTACTATGTTCTGTATAAATTTATTTTATTTTTTAAAAATCCTATTTTTATATAAAGCTATTGCATCATCTCCCTCGAGCCATTGTGATAATCTAATATCCAAAAGCTACCTCTCATTCTATCTTTTTATATAAAGCTCTTCAAATATTTTCTCATAGTTGAATTGGTAAGAAATAAGCAATGGAGGTTATGAACAAAAGCCAAAGATTTCAAAGACCAATTCAATTGATCAGCCAGAAGCTTGTCACCAAAATTCTGCTCCCTTTTTCACTTCTTTCTGCAATATTATCTTACCCTTCGTTATGCAACTTCCAAACTTTGGCATATAGTTTACAGCTCTTCAGTTTTAGTGTCGACAAGACTTACATGTTTGTGCTTTGCAATGGACTTATTTTTTTCATTGCCACCGGCTCCGGTTTGATTGGTAGTTTTGGGGTGGAGTCTGATGTTGACAAGGTGGCGAGGATCGGTGAGTGAAGTACTCGAAGAGAATTAGAGGTTGAATCATCAGAGCCAAAAGTGTGTATTTTGAAAGCCAAAGTTACTGCAGAAGTTGATCAGAGAGAAGAACTGCCCTTGGTTGTAGAAGATGAAGGCGAAGAAGAAAGATGGAATGAGATTGTTTCACTCGAAGAAGATGAAGATGAAACACTTGGGTTTTTGAGTAATGAAGAGCTAAACAAGAAATGTGAAGATTTTATTAGGAGAATGAAACAAGGGATTCAGTTTGAAGCTCGCAACTGATTATGGTTCAAAAAGTAGAATCTGACACAACATAAAGACTCTACGAGGCATCAACTCAACTTATAGTTAGAGATTTCTGTAACTTATTTTTCTTTCTTTTGCTCGTCTCCCCTAACTTGGACTATAATTCGGTTCCTCTGTTTTTCCTTTCCCCCAGAAATTTGATTTCTGAGTTTTAGTTTGAAACTGTTGATTTCTGTAAATTAAATCTTGTTTTGAAGTGATTTCTGATGCAAATAACAAAGTAATGGCATTTGATAATAATCATATAATTAAGTTTTAGTAAATTAAATGTTGTTACTTTAAATTCAAAGGAAGCGACCAAGCAATTGCTCCATTGACTTCAAGTCATCCAAAGAGGACAAAATCAAGTTAATCAACTTTAAAACAGTGACCAAATTTTTGTCAGCAATCACTTCCATGAAAGTTCAAAGTTTGAATTTTTTTCCTGTTATAATCACTTTCCAAGAGATTATTCCACAAACAAGGACAAGCTCCAGGTAGATTAGAAGATTCATAATACCTTGAGAGATTATTTGAACCTATCTTAACCATAAAAAGTATTTGTCTTCTTGCTCATATTCTGATATTCCTCCAAATCTCATAGAGGATTAATGCTTTATTTCACAGTTCACAATGAGCTGCCCAGCATTGTTGCATCTGAAAATGGAACAAAAGAGACCATTCAACCTTTTTCCCCTCTCAAACAGTTTTTCTCCTTCATAATACCGACATCTGAAATTTTAAATTCTTATATAATTTAGTTTTATTTTTTTATTTTCCAATGAACTATTTTTGCCCCTTAAACTTTATAAGTTCGTCTACTAGAATTCTATATATTCGTCCCTAGTATAAAATTTTTTGTCGGTCCCTGCCTATATGGTTTCTAAGGTAGAGCTGCAGGATAACAGGGCATCTATTTTTCAAGAAAGAAAAAGACAAGCCTTTTTTGCCTTTTGCACATGCACATGCACATTAATTAGAAGAACAAATGTGAACAATGACACCAGCCAGTACTGACTCTCAATTGGCTTGGGTTCCTTTGAACCCCAACAGTTGCAAACATGGTAAATTAACAGTAAGGAGAGTGGCAGACAGGAGCTTTGCCGGGCTTGACCTGCTCCAATCTTAAGACCCCACGACTAGATTTGGTCCTCTCTCGTTACCAAACGTAGACGATGTGAAACCAAATGGTTCATTTGACTACTCACTTCAGACAACCTATGTTACCATGAACCAAAGTGCACGTCAGATGAACCTATGCATCCAACACCAGCATGCTATAGAGGATCATACTCTTTTATTTATGTTTTATTGTGTCGGATAGGCATATTGTAGACAGTGTTAACAATCTTTATGACAGCATTTAGCATGCTTATGACTAAACTCCTTATCATCAGTAATTAGATTGAACAATTAAAAATTTCATGTTTTTGTGCCCTTTATTTTCTATATATTTGTGGTGAATTATTGTTTCTCTCCTCCGTAGAGACAAATAAATTCAAACTATATTAAATTTCTCTTGTATCTTTTTTTTATATTGACATTTTGTCTATTACTTCTTATTCCTTCAAATTCCGTAACATATAAGATCATGGGTATAATGAGCTGTCATTTTACATATCTCTCGTTATTTGAGATCCTATTCACCTCTTTTTTTTCTTTCTATTGATCGAGAAAAGAATAAGTTTGATATAATCTTAATATATATAAGACATCCTTCGGATACTTCAAATTGAAGCAATTAGATGTCCGACTCGGGCCTATATGATATGACCAATCAATAAAAATACTTCAACACTTCACCTTTGTCATATATTCCATGCATTACACTGAATAGATATCATATTCATATAATACGATTCACTTTCAAGATGTCTTGGTAGTGAACTGGTTGACATGTGAAATTCAAAATCTTGTGTTAAAGAGTGTGGAGGTTCGAATCCTCTTCAAAACATAATGTTGAGAATGCTCATTGAATTGGAATAAGTTTAACATGAATCACGATATCTTAGCTTGAATCACGATATCTTAGCTTGTGTTTGTTTTCATTGTTTCACATATTCAAACCTCTTATGTCAGCGCCGCGCAGACATTAGGCTTCGCAGACCGTTTGTTTTTTAGAAGACAGAACGTTTGTGCGAGCTCTTCTTGGTGCAGACATGGTTTTATGTCTTCAAAGATCTTCAAACCTCTTCAAGAACAATTATAAAATATGGTTATTTATTAAAATAATTTTAAATAATTTAATAAGGTTATTTATTTTAAAATAATTTATTTTAAAATAATTTATTATAAAATAAATTATTATAAAATATAGATTGATTTATTTTAAAATAATTTATTTTAAATAATTTATTAGTATGGATTGATTTATTTTAAAATATGGATTGATTTATTTTAAATAATTTATTAGTATGAATTGATTTATTTTAAAATATGGATTGCTTTATTATTGTAGTTGTATGAATTGATTTATTTTAAATAATTTATTAGTATGTATTGATTTATTATTGTAGTTGTATGGATTGATTTATTTTAAATAATTTATATATAGTTGTATGGATTATTTAAATTTAAGTATTGTAAAACTAAAATTATTTAAATCTCAGTATTACAAAACTCTTTTAAGTTTGAAAAATCAGTTTATTTATATTTCAGTTCATTCTAGCAGTCTGCAGACATAAAAACAAACAATCTTCTTTTTTTCAGACTGCAGACTTTTGGTCCATCTCTTCTGCTGTATATGCCTGCAGATATAGTCTGCAGACTACAGACATTTTACCTCTGCAAAAATAAATACCACCTTAGTGATCTTCTCTTTCATTATTATCCTACACCATCCAATTCTCACCAGAACCGACAAAAAAACTGCAATATTCAGTCAAAAATGACACCACAAACTGTTTTTGCAGACTGATTTCCAGGTAAATCTACAGTAAGAAAAAATGATAATAGAATCGAGCAAGTGATTCCGTCCACTGTAATTTCAAATACAGCAAAGAAAAGGGGCTACCAGATCTAAATTCAGCTGATTCATTCTTGCAAGTCATTTCTTTGTCATCAACTCAAAAAAGTTCAATAGCCTATTTTATAGATCAGAGATGCAAAACAAGGTGCACGGCACAGAAACTAAAACGGCTTGAACATTAAAATGCAGAAATTCATCAACATTATAAGGGTTTTTGGGGTTGACAAAAGCCGTAAATTTTCAGAAAGACATCATCTGAAGTTCTTTGAAGCAAGTAATTTTTCCAGTCAATTCCATTGATCACATTAGATTGAGTCAATTCCAATTACCTCATTTCATCATTGTAATATCATATCTACAAGGAAGTCATATATCCTGTCAATCACCAATATGTACCTTAGGTGACTAAATCATCGACGAAAAGATCATCGGCTTATGGAAAACATACGTTAATCATCAATTATGTTTTATTAAGAAATTGGTTTATATTGGTATGTATGACAAAAAGATATTGATTGATCTATATCGAAGGGCAATGCAACAGTTTATGTTGGGAAATAAACGAGTAACAAGTAATTTCCCTATAGCCATATTAGTGAGAATACGAAATAAAAGCGGAAAAATAATACCCGAAAAATTGATAACGGAGTTCAGCCAATTGTGCTTACGTCTCCGGACTGCTGCAGATCTTTTACTAAAGAGAAAAAATTACAGGTGTTTACAAAACACACTTGAGAGAGAACTGGAAGATTTTGGGATGATTTTGAAGCTAAGTGAGCTAGGGTATTTATAGTTGAAGCTTAGAGACTAATCTTTGAAAATACCCTAAAGTTCAATGACTAATTTTGAGATATACCCTTCTCACTTTCAAATATAGCTGCACCGAAAATTGAAAATTTTCTGTGCATTTAATTTGCACTTTCGGCAGCCCCCTTTCTATGACTTTACAGCCTCTTTCTTCACACAGGCGGTGCCCACCCCTTTGACTTTTCTTCCAACAATCTCCCACTTGAAGACTGATTTTAATTTGTCTTCACACATTGATCAATGCAGCAGCATTTCTGGTCTTATTATTCTAGCATGCCAACTGAAGCTGAACACAACTTCAGTTTGTCCGTAGTCACCGTCTTTGTCAACATGTCTGCCGGATTTTGAGCTCTACTAATCTTTTCAAGTTTCAAAATCACATCTTCCAACCGGATAAAATGATATCTCAATTGTATATGCTTCGTTCTGGAATGAAAAGATGGATTCTTCGCTAGATGAATAGCACTTTGACTGTCGCAATATAAGACATTGTTTTCTTGTTTCTTGCCTAACTCTTCCAAGAAACTTTGGAGCCAAACCATCTCCTTGCTGGCTTTTGTAACAGAGACATATTCTGCTTCAGTTGTGGAGAGAGCAACTATCTTCTGTAGTTGAGAAACCCAACTCACTGCGGTTCCTCCTAGAGTATATACATACCCTGTAGTGCTTCTTCTGATGTCAACATTCCCGGCTAAGTCAGCATCTACATAGCGTGTCAGTATCGTATCTCCACCTTTGAAACAAAGTGCTTTGTTTGTAGTACCCCGCAGATATCTGAGTATCCATTTGACTGCTTCCCAATGTACTTTGCCCGGATTATTCATGTACCTGCTAACAACTCCCACTGCATAAGCAATATCTGGTCTAGTACAAACCATGGCATACATCATACTTCCAATTGCTGAGGCATACGACACTTTCACCATGTTTGCACATTCTTCCTCCGTCTTTGGTGACTGTTCTTTGGAGAGTCTGAAATGAACACCTAAAGGTGTACTTACTGGTTTAGCATCTTGCATGTTGAACCTGGAGAGTACTTTGTTGATGTACTCAGCTTGTGATAACATCAAAGTCCCCGACTTTGTGTCTCTCTTGATCCTCATCCCAAGAATCTGCTTTGCAACGCCCATATCTTTCATAGCAAACTGCTTCGACAATTCTTGCTTCAAGTGTATAATCTCTTGCATGTCTGAGTCTGCAACGAGCATGTCATCAACGTACA